GCACTCACGTTTCATGTCTCGTACCTTCCTACCTAATCTTTCCTTCTTCCTATATGTTCTGAAGAGTCAACAGTTTAATTTCCCTAAAATATGAATTGGATCTTTCGTCTCCCACTCCCCCTCTCCATTTTCCCTGAACATCAAATTCTATGTATGAATGTGTATTTCCATCTCTCTCTCTAATTCCTCGTTTGCCCCACGTAAGATCATCTCCTTTCTGATCCTCTGTCACATTATGTTTCCCTCCTTCTCATACTTTCTCACACTTAGAAATGGCTTTTAGATTCTGCTTTCTCCCAGCAGTGGCTTTCCTGCAACTCACATTCATCTTTATCTTCTTCAACTCATGTCACATTTACTGCTTGTGCCCCACACTACCACTACTCACTAGGCTATACTCTGGTGGTTCCAAACAGTGCCACAGGTAGCACTTTGTTTAATCATAATATGAGGACAGCCGGTTTACTATTCTTTGTCCCTTACCTGTTTCTAGTATATGTCTTACATCTCCAACCAGATAGTGAATTCATTTTAAGAAAGGGCACTGGCTCAGAATCTGTTATATCCCTTAACTCCTAACATAAGGTCAGGCCATCGATTTTAACTTCTAACCCTTGCCATCCTCATATACGTTGGCTGGCAAACAAAGTCTTCTGGTAAAATTAGTTTGACAAGAGATCTAGGATCAGACACGTTCTATTACATATCTGAATTTGGTCATGAATATATATGTAGTTAACAATTAATAATAACGTAGATTATGTTGCATTGTGAACTACGGTTCTAGATATTTTGTGATCCTGCTGACTTTTAAGAGATATATTTTATAAATCTAGCTGAGGATTCTTTCCTGAACTCCAAACTCATATATCCAATTTGTCCTTGACATCACCATGTGATAACTAATGAATTTGTCCAAAACTGAGCTCTTGGTATCTGCCCTCTCTGTCAAAATAAAACTATTTCACCACTTCCCTATCTTAGTTGATGGCAAATTCCATTTGCTCAGGCCAACAGTCATAGAGTTATCATGAATCTTCTCTTTCTCTCAAACTCCTTATCCAACATCAGGAAATCCTGTTGGTTCCACTTTAAAATATATCCACAGTTCAACCAATTCCCAATACCCTCATGGCTATCACATTGGTTCAAGCTATCATTTCTCAACTGGATTCCAGGAATAGCATCCTACCAAGTCTCCCTACTTCCATCCTTGCAAAACATGCTGGGTCACACCACTTCTTTGCTCAAAATATCTCAATGGCTTCTCACCCTACACAGAATAAAAACAAAGTCCTTACAGTGTTCTGTAAGACCCTACAAGGATTGAGACCTGTTGCATTTTCAACCACCTCTGTTATCATTCCCTGCAGCACCTCCTGTCAAACCACAGTGGCCTTGTTCCTAAAACATGCCAGATAAAGTTCACCTTAGGGCATTTGCACAGACTTTCCCTGATATGTTCTTCCCACTGGCATACTCGTGGCTAATCCCCACCCCTCCTTCAAGGCCTTATCTGAATACTCCCTTCTCATTCTAAATTCCAAATTGCAACCTTCTACAAGTTAGCAATCCTAATTCTCCTCCCTTGCTCTATTTTCTTTCCATTGCATTTATCACTGTGGCTGTTATAAAAATGTGCCCCCCAGACATCCAATTGCAAAAGCATAACCAATAAAGCGTCCCAGCTGTTGCACCCTGAAATCCATCCCTGGATTTGCATTAAGACCATGCCTCTCGGGGGCTACTCCTAACCAATGGGTGAGTATGGCAGAAATGCTCAAACAGGTTCCCTGGGAGACATGGGACCTCTCTGGTAGCTGACTTTGGCTAGAGGATTTTTCCAGGATTTTTATTTATTTGTTTGTGTGTGTGTGTGTGTTTGTTTAAGAGAGAGAGCATGCATGTGGGGGGGGGGGGCGCGAGCAGAGGGAGCAAGAGAGACACTCAAGTAGACTAAGTGCTGAGCATGGAGCCTGTTGTTGCAGGGCTCAGTCTCATGACCCCGAGACCATGGCCTGAGCTGAAACCAAGCATCGGCGGCTTAACTGACTCAGCCACCCAGCACCCTAGCTCCAGGACTTTCTGATGGCCTTGCCAGTCTGCCTTAGGCTGTGCTACAGGTCAGGCTGTTTTCACTCAACTTTCTCTTCATTTATCCCTCACTTGAGCCAGACTTGCACCGCAGTCTGACCACTCTCCCAGACTCCAACTCCAGCCCTCTTTGCCTATCTCCCTCATCTTCTCTCAGGGAGTCATTCTCCTAATAAAATCTAATACTTTTAGCTCATCTTGCCAATTGTTTCCTCAGAAGACTCCAACTAACAGGACGCCTGGGTGGCTCAGCGGTTGAGCGTCTGCCTTAGGCTCAGGGTGTGATCCTGGGTCCAGGGATCAACTCCTGCGAGGATCCTGCTTCTCTCTCTGCCTGTGTCTCTGCCTCTCTCATTGTGTCTCTCATGAATAAATAAAATCTTAAAAAAAAGAAGAAGAAGACCTCCAACTAACATGATCATCTTCTTACATATTCTACTTTGTTTGCTTATTATGTTTATATTTCATTGCCTACCTGAAGAGAAATTCCAGAGAGCGGGAATGGTGCTCATCCTTGTATCCCAAACACCTAGCACCATGTGTGACATAAGTATTCAATAGACATGTGCAGAAAAAATAACTAACAAATGCTTTTTAAATATTAGCAACTATTAGTATTATCAACTAAATAAATGAATAAAGACATGATGATACCAATCAGTTGTCACAACCCTGCTCCCTGCTAAATTCCCTGGTCTTCTTATTTTATCGAAACCTGCCCTACACTAGAAAACCTTTGGGTTTTCCCATAGCAGAAATGAGATCTAAGTGGTAAATTGTTTTTAGGAAAAGATCCAGACCAATAATTGGATAAGTGCCCCTGTGTTCTGGGCTGCAAATCTGCAATTCTGACTGAGATATTTATCACTACCGCTCTCTTGTATTTAATTTCAGCCAGGACCTCCATACACAAAATCAAAAATTTTGAAGGTTTGATTTTTTTTAAGCTTGCGTACCCATCCAATAACAACCAAACTTGGCCCATGCCTAATCGATCCTCCAAGTCTTTAGTTTCCCAAACTGTCTCCTTTGAGTATGTGTATGAACAAGGACAAACTACTCCCAAGTATGATTTCAGGCTCTTGAAACGTGGGTTTCACTCTGTGGTTGTGTAGCTCCACATGACAACATGGAAAAATCTTTTCTCTCTAGGGCCACTAAGTTACTCTAGGGATTCCCAAGGAGTTCTGTCGAAGGGGTGTGCATCCAGGTGTAAGCGTTCTGGGAGCTAGAGAGAAGAGGAGGCTGGGGTTCCTACTCTTTCTCACAAAGAGTGAGATACAACCCTTCAGCCTGTGTCTCCCGTTGCCCCATTTCCTGGGTAGGCATCGATGAATGGCTATTGTAAAGTCAGTCCGCCAATCCTGGGTTTGCCATTATTAGCTATGTGGCAAATTACAGCTCTGAGCCTCAGTTTCCTCATTTGTAAACTGAGGATAATAGCATCTATCTTCCAGCACCCTGTACCATAAATAGTATGTGAAGCATTTGTCCGTAGACAGTACTCAACAAATATTAGCCATTATTATTATGATCAACAATGCAAAGGAAATTAAACCATCTGGTCACTGTTTGGCTTGTCCTTTTAACCCGTTCAGCTGAATGCTGATTGGAAGGCACTCGATAGCAGCCGAACACATAAGGACAGGATAGATGGTAACTACGGTTTACTACATCAAAATTTAATCCAAGGAATCATGGAGGAAAGAAAACAAAATCAAGTGTAAAGCCTCCAGCCTCTGCTAAGAGTCTCACTGGGCTTGACTTTCTTTTTCTAAAGGGCAAGGGAACACCCACACGGTGTCAGGCTGCAGGAGTCCCAGAATGTCTGCTCACACTTTCAAAGGCCCGCTCCTTTCTCTAGCACAACTGGTGAGGTCAAAGTGGGCACCTTCCTGAAAGCCCAGGGTGGCATTTCTGAATGAGGTCCAAGAAAGAGCGGCGCCCGGCGCCCGGGGCAAATCCCAGCCAAGAAACAACCCAGGGTGGTCCCCGTGGCTTAAAACTGAACCCTGCTGGGGGTGGAGGAGGGAGGAGAGGAGAGCGGGAGAGGAAGGGGAGAGGAGGGGGGAGAGGAAGGGGAGAGGAGGGGGGAGAAGAAGGGGAGAGGAGGGGGGGAAAGGGGGGCGGAGGAGGGAGAAAAGAGGGCAGAGGGGGGAGACAGGATGGGAGAGGGGGGAGACAGGCGGGTGGAGGGGGGAGAGTGGAGGGAGGAGGGGGGCAGAGGGGGGAGAGAGGAGGGCGGAGGGGGGAAAGGAAGGGAGAGAGGGGAGCAGAGGGGGGAGAGAGGAGGGCGGGGGAGAGGAGGGGAGGGCGGAGGGGGGAGAGAGGAGAGCGGAGGAGGGAGAGGGGGCGGAGGGGGGAGAGAGGTGGGGAGAGAGGAGGGCGGAGGGGGGAGAGGGGAGGGGAGAGAGGAAGGCGGGGGAGAGAGGAGGGTGGGGGAGAGAGGAGGGGAGGAGAGCGGGGGGAGAGAGGAGGGGAGAGAGGAGAGAGGAGAGCAGAGGAGGGAGAGGGGGCGGAGGGGAGAGAAAAGGGGAGAGAGGAGGGGAGAGGAGGGCGGAGGGGGGGCAGCGGCAGGTTCACAGCGGCCGTCGCTCCCTGACCCTGAGACCGCTGCGCTGGAGCGCGGCGCCGGCGGGGGGCGGGGCGGGGCGGGGCGGGGCGGGCGCGGACCACCTGATGTCCGCTCACCTCCCGACGAGGCTCTGAACTCGCCGCACAGTCTCGCATCCGCGGCCCGCGCTGCTGCGGGGGGTGCAGCTGGGGCGGGCGCCGGGGAGCTCGGCGCAGGCCCCCCGGACACCAACGTGCGGGCGAGGCCGGGGCCGCGGGGCGCACCGCCCCCCCCCAAGCGGCCCCGAAGCAGCGGCGGCCGCGCACCAACCCCAGTCGCCGCCCCGCGCTCGCGCTCGCGCTGCAGGTGCCGCCGCCGCCGCCGCCGCCCCCGCCCCCGCCCCGCCCGCGGCACCTCGGGGCCCGGCCTCCCCGCGGAGCCTCTGCTGCTGCGCCGCCGCCTCGGACGCCCGACGCGCCGCAATGGACGAGGCCGCGCTGGTGAGGGAGAGGCTCCAGGCCATCACGGTAAGCGCGGCCCCGCCCGGCTGCTCGGGGGGCCGCGGAGCCCCGCGCCCCCCGCTCCTCCGCGCCCCCCGCTCCTCCGCGCCCCCCGCGCCCCGCGCCCCCCCGCGCCCCCGGGCCCGCCCCCCGCCCCCCGCTCCCCGCCCGAGCGAGCGCACGTCCGAAAGGGCACGGCGGGGGGTCGCTGTCACCCACCTTCTCGGCCCTAGAGTGCAGGGCTCTTCCTTCAGCTGGTCTTTGCCGGGCGGGGGGACGAAAAAGCAGATCCTCGACTTAGAAACTTTTGAAAACCGTGAATAATGCACCAGAAAGTGACAGTCTCGTAAAAGGGGCGGGCGCGGGGGGGGGGGGGGGCTGAAAAGAAATGAAACAACTAGAAACTTTTTATTTGCAGCGGGGCGGCAGGCTCCGGGGAGCTCCCAGATCAAAATGAGTGTGGTGGTACTTAAACTAAGCATCAAGCAAGACAAAAGTAGGTAAAAGCACGTATCAGATTAATTCTTAGATATCGGTTTTCAGCAGAGTCCTAAACTGAGTAAGATCCTGATGAAGGAACGCGGTGCGTGCGATGCGATGGATTTGGGAAAATATCTCGTTAATGCCGGGAAGGAAAAGAGTGCATTTTTTTTTTTTTTTAATGTTTGTTCCGGGAAAGAATCAACGCAAGAAATAAACTACTTTCCTTAAGTGACCCAGCCTTTTTTTTTTTTTTTTAATTTTCTAAAATCCTGTATTTGGCAGTAACCTGGAAGTCTGTGGCACAGTCATTTACGATTAGCTACAATTTGCGAAATGATTTTTTAAAAACGTGGAAATCCGCATCCCAGTTTCTCAGTATTTTCTGCCACTGACATTAGCTGTCAGGAAGAAATGAGGACTTTTTAAAAACGGATGCTAAATCAGGGTGGGTAGGAGGATTTTATTCTCTGCTCTTCTAATTCCCCCAGCATAAATAATAATGCTAATCCAAATTTAGAATTTTGACTAAATGGATACAATGCCTTTAGTTCCACCCAGAAAGGATTCAATAAGTTGAAACATTTTCTCAGCCAATAGTAAGGAACCAGAGGCCAGAAGTCCATCAATAAAGACTGGCACTTTTCCATAAGACAATGCTTTTGAAATGTCTAACTTCTAATTAGTACATTTTCCTGTCTTCAGAAAACTCTGCTTTGGACTATTGTTTGTTTTGTGTTGTTCTTTTCTCTTTTTCTTTTTTTTTTTTTTTTTTTTTTTTTGGTCTTTAAACTCAGCCACCGTTTCAGCTGTCAGGCTTTAAGGGACAGGAACTGGGCTCTGCTCTGTTGTTTTTGGCATGGGCCTTTTGCATTACAGCTGTTGTTTAAAGGTTACTTTATTACACTGTGTGAGTTGTGTGGGCACAGGCCAGGCCTTTGCTTCTACCTCCTAATTTACTAAACTAAGTCATGTAGCTGGTGAAATGGTGAAATACGCAACAAGCACCCCTTCTCCATTTTCCTTCTGGAATTGTAGCACACACTTATTATAGCCCTCATTAGCTCCAGGGCACCTTATAACTCCTACTGAGCCCGCACAAGGTCTAAAGCTATGACTGCATGCAATTACTCAGGAAGCCTAGGAGTTTTCGCAGAGGGTTCCAGATGCAAATAGAAGTAGAACAAGAGGCTTGACACCTTACAAGCAGGCAGGAGAGTAAGGTTCCTGAATATACTGGGGTATGCTTTTTCTGATGATTAACACACATACACACACACACACACACCTACTGTTTGAATTATTCCATTAGCCTGAACATATCCCATTAGAAGGAATTAAGCAAATCTCCAAAATAAGATCACAAAGTAATTCTCTCTTGGAAGTAGTATGTTTCTATGAAGATTACTGGGGGGGGGGGGGATGGGAAAAAAGTTTATGGGAATAAATTCACACTGGCCTCCACCTCACCAGGCTAAGCCCAATCACATTTGTCACAACCTAGAGGGGAAAATGGAGCAGTGGTGTGTCCATGGAAACAACACATCCACTCATCTGCTAGACACCACGGGAGATGCCAGCTTTCTCCACCCTTGCTTTACCAGGAAGCTACCTCACCCCTTCTATCTCCCCTGAGAAAATGAAAACAGACAGTATCCAGAGAATTCACTGGGACTGTTTCATTTGGGAAGTACTTAAAATCTTCAAAATCTCTGACCTAAACTAAAACTCAGACACAGTCTTCTCATTTTGACTGTTTTCCTCCTATTTCCTTACACTGAAACAATGTTTGTATAGTTCAGAAACAAAATCATTAGACTTTTTCAATGTACCCAAACACAGCAAAACAAACAAACTTCTTACACTCTCAGATCTATTTGATTTTTATATTAAAATGTGCTCCTCCATTTCCTGATCTTCACCGTCGTATTTATATTACCTGGTTTTGAGTGTCCAAGCAGTCATTATTTCCATTGCAAGGAGTCAAAAAAACAAATATCTGTCTGTGTCTATAACTTGACAGAACCAAGTACCAGTCTTTTCCATAAGAAAATGCTTTTGAAATGCAGAACTTCTAATTATGATCTGTTCCTCTAAAAAAAATAGATTAAACCCAACAAGGAGATGCAATGTGGCATTTAGGCTCTCAGACTGAAAACTAATACTGTAATTGTGTCATTCATTTCTCACATCACTAAACTGAATTTTAGATTGTCAGAAGTCTTCCCAAAGAGTCAAAGAGAATAAAGAAAAAAAGTATGAAAGTACACAGAAATGATTATTTAAAAGACAGTATATCAGTTTGGGTACACCAAATATGGATTCTGTTTTGTACGCTTATTCTCACATTTTCCTTTTATTACCTTATCCAAGTACCAGCTCTTCCTTCACTGAATTAATCGTCAAAGTATCTTTTAGCTGAAAGAGTTCAGTTTTCAGCTGTTACTCAAAAACAGGGCTGCTTCAAGTTGACTAGATGAAAAGTATCTTGAGACTCTTTTCGAGTTAGTACATATTTTAATGAATAGTTGTTTTTTAAAGATTTTATTTATTTATTCATGAGAGAGAGAGAGAGGCAGAGACACAGGGAGAGGGAGAAGCAGGCTCCATGCAGGGAGCCCGATGTGAGACTCGATCCCGGGTCTCCAGGATCACGCCCTGGGCCAAAGGCAGCGCTAAACCACTGAGCCACCTGGGCTGCCCGAATAGTCAGTTTTTATACAAAAGAAGAGCTATTAAAGTAGACTGGTAATTTGAAATTCACTTTTAATGTTACTGGAATATATGACACCAATATTTCCCACATCCTCAGGAAGAGTGAAATGAAGGACTGACAGTTCTCCCCACAAAACTCTTCTCTAGAAGGAAATTTGGCCCACAGTAAAACCAGTGAAAAGACCAGATGAATTCCCCAAAGAAATAGAAAGATCACCTTAGGATTAGTAATATTCCATAAGCTCTTGACATCCTTCCTCCTCCACGAGGAACACATTATCTTATTTCGTTTCCCACTATTACCTTAGAAAATACTGTTCCTAATAACATGGGGACATACAAACATAGAAAATTCCTAGACCTTAAACTGGCCAGAGATCATAAAAATACCACTGTTTGGCAGCTGACCCTAGGAGAATTCTGAGAACGAGAATCAATTTTTCAGAGAACAGACCCAGCTGGGGAGTAAAGGGATAAGAATAAAGGTAACATTTTTATTCCCATCAAGGTTTATCTTTAATTATTAGGAATGTGTGCTATCAACTCATTCCCTCATTCCTTTATTCAATTAATGGTTATTGAGCACCAACCGTGTGCCAACCCTTATATATTTAAATGAAAAGAAGTGAACTAAGAGGAATCAGGAGGAGGATGGGAGTGGGGGGGGGTGGATCATAGTGGTGTTGGCAGGATGGACCTCACAGAGAGGGTGACACTTAAGCATAGATGTGAAGGAGGTGAGCTCTGTCAAAATTTAGACAACAGTAATAATCACAATAACAAGCACCTGCCTAGAACTGACTCCCATTTGGAAGAGAGCCATATAAAGTCCTGACACTGGAATCTGAGCAACAGAGCCAGATTTGCCCGCCAAAGCTGCTCGTGACGCAAAATAATAAGGAGCTCTCACATTTCCCGAGATCCACTCCCTATTTCTTTCCACTCCCAAAGAATTTTTTCTAGACTTGTAAACATGGGAATTGGGGAGGCAGCAAATTCTTTGCACAAAACAGAAGTCTACCCCATACAAAGACCAATATTCAAACAATGACAAACACACCCAGGTTCTAGTTATTTCTTCAGCATGCATTGCCTGTCACCACACACTGCACTTCATCTTGTGCCCTTTTTGTCACTATCTGGGATCTTCCGGCTGTTAATAAGACAGTTGATGGCCTCAAGGCAAGATCTGCTATATAATTTATGGGGCCAGTACACAATGAAAATGTGGGGATACTTGATCAAAAAGCATTCGAAATATCAACATGACAGCAGCACAGCATTAAATGAAGTGCTGGACCCTTTCCAGCGTGGTGCCAAGTATGTCTTCAGAGGTCACCTGCCCAGGAGACCAGTCCTGCTTCTGCTTCCAGGCCAGCCGTGATTCATTCTACCGGTACAGACGGGAGAGTGGAAATGAGAGCAAGTAGCCCGGATCTTTACTAATAGTATAACCTCACGTGTGTTTGGATCATTGAATTACTTAGAGTTCTAAGGACTTCTTAAAATAATAATGGCTAGAAGAACATATAAGGCACCACTGTTCCAAAGTACCTCCTGGTTAAGAGAGTTGCAGGAAGAACTTCTAATTTGTCGTGAGAATCTAAAGACATTCACATAACAATGGTACATGGAGATGTAGGAATCTCCTAAATAAAGAAGTCTTGTGCTAGAATATTCAAACAATAAAGCCTCTGCACAATTTTCCACAGTGCCATACTGAGATTGCATGTTTCTTCCAGAGAGGGAAGGATTTCTTGAAACAAAATGTGCTGTACCACATTTCTTTGCCAAGCATAACAGCCCACCCACAAAGGAGAGCATGTGATGAG